CAGTGACGCTGTAACTTCAGTCACTAAACGAACCATTTTGTAAGTCGAGCAGTACTTATTATACAAGAAAAAGTCTCTATTCCGTTAGGGGGGGGAAATGGATTATTTCCCACTTGTTTCTCTCCGGCTACAAGGAAGAACGAAGGCAAAAAGAATCTGAAATACGTACTTTTCCCTCCTCAGTTGCAGGAGCAAGCAGGAAAGAGCCTCGGGGTGTTCTACAAGGGGGGGCGAAAAAAGCAATTATTTTTTTTTAATTTAGGAAAAAAAGCTCATTTTTTTTCCTAATTTTTGAATCCAAGCACAGGCCAAAGTCAAAATATGTGAAAATATTTTATTATTTTTTTCTGGCTGAAAGGGAAATGAATTAAAAATATAAAACCTGCATACAGAAAAACAACGGGAAAGAGTTAAATTAATCAATTTAATTAAATTAATTAATTTAATTTAATCATTTGAGAATTAAATCATTCGAGACTTTCAAGAAGAGACTAGACTGCCCTTGGTCACAAATGGTGCAGGCTCCCTTGTTTGGGCGGGGGGTTAGACTAGATGACCTACAAGGTCCCTTCCAACTCTTGATTACCCTTTATCTTAAATCCTTGAGAGATTCATTGATCTACACGCATCTAGGAGGTCCTCGCCTTACGACCGCAACCGAGCTTGGGATGACGGTCGCAAGTCGAGAAGGGCATCCGATGACTGGATTTGGCCACGTTTTATTTTTGCAAACGCCGCCGTCATTAAGTAAATCCAATTTTCCCCCAATGGGTATGATGATGATTATTATTTGGGGGAGGGGGGGTTTGCAGAAATTGGAAGCCAACATTAGAAACTATCAAAAAAGATGGCAAATTTACATTTATTTATACACAGTTACTCATTCGTCCGCTTTCTTCACCGTGATTCTCCCTCAAATTACGGTCAGGGGAACACTTGCAAACAGCCCTAAAATTGTATGTGTGTGGATGTCTGTGGGGGGGAGACACCCCAAAAATGGATCCCAAGTGTCAACTCATAATATCTCTAGGGTCTTTTTAGAGGTGCCAACAGAAAGGGAAGAGGGGGGAAAGAGCAGTGCGGCAGCTTGGAAATCGAAAGCGCATTCCATCAATGTTTTCCAAAGATAGCAACTAGGCGACTGAAGTTTCTGCCGTGCAAAATTCCAATTGGAGAACATGATGGAGGATGGATGACTCTGGGCTAGGGATGTGTCCCATTGGAGAATATGAATTACGATACACCCAGGGGGAAGTTTTGGAAGTTTTGGCTCAAGACTCGTGATTTCATTGGGGTAACGGCCAGAATCCGGACACCAAGGGGTTCTAGAGAGAGGCCCGTCGCAACTTTGAACGGACGTTAAGTGACTCCATCGTTAAGTTCGAGACCCGCCCTGCATTTCTCTACGGGGGGGGGGGGGGAGGTTTTTTTTGGGGGGGAAACAAAGCCCCAACTTCGTGTATTCAGGATGGCGTTGGTTCCCCCCCCCCCCCACACACACACCCCTTTGCTGGGGCTGGAGATTGGCGGCCAACCTAAGGGACTTCTCACCTTTGTACTTGAGGTGCTGAAGGATGGGGATGATGGTTTCCAGGGGAATGTTGTGCGCCAGGAAAAGCTGCCAGGTGCAATATTGCTCAAACGTCTCCCACTCCAAGCTCTGAACTGGAGAGAAAAGAAGAAAATACCCCCCCAAAAAAAAACAGAAAGGAAAAGAGTCGATAAAGACACAATTCAACACAAAAATACCACAATCCGCCCCCCCGCAGGCTGACCCAGCCTCTCTAGGCTTCCTGGGCCAAGGAGGGACCACAGAGGATTCTGGGAGTTGGAGTCCACAAGTTGTTGTGGTCCGCTGGTGGCCTGCGAAGACGGCAGCAGAGTCGGACAGTGGGGAGGATCGTGGGCCAGTCCGGGAGTCTGGGGAGGGTCCTGCGGGGGCCAGGGCCACCTGGGAGTTATGTGCCGACTCCGGAGCCTCCAAAATCTGACAGCAGCGAGGCAGAGGAATAGCGGGAGCCTGTTCCCAGGGCGCGCATGCACAGAGCTGCCAGAAGGCAAGAACGGTTAAGACAAAAGGGGCAACTCCGAAGTAAGACTTGGAGGGGATTGGCCCTCGATGAGACATAAAGGAGGAGCAAAGGGACAGGAGCCTTGGCAGGAAGCAACTTTGTCCGTACTGGTCGGCTTGAAACCTGAACCTCCACGTTGAATTTGTGCTCCATTTTGGCCTCGTATAACTAACTAGTTGGCAATTTGGGCAGCATTTCAAGAAAGATCAAGGTGGGTGCTGATCAGACTTATCCCGAAGGACTTTGGCAGACTCCTTCCATGGCAGACTCCTTACAAACTGTTTCGGACTCATTACGGGCTAAATGAATGAGTAAAATTCACGGCTGTGTAAATCAAGAACAAAGGGGTTTTGGGGGGACTAACACGTGTTTGTGAGCGTCTCCGTAAGCCTCGGTCAAGAACACAAAACGGGCAGCATCGTTCTCAGCCCTTCGCCGAGATCGCTCCCGCCGGCCACTTGGAAGGCTGGAGTGGGGGGGAGAGAAAGCCAATGCCATTCCGGGCGGCCGCCATTCACTCACTCAGAATATTAAGGACCGAATCTTTCCGGAACATCACCAAATTCCCCATCATGACGTGACAAACCAGCTCCTGGAGCTGTAAGAAGGAGAAACAGGAGGAAAAAAAAGGGGGGGGGGAGGGAAATTGCACCAGGGTTAGTGACAAGGAAGCCAAGCCAGGATGGGTTTTGTAGTTCTTTTTTTTTTTTAAATCAACAGCCTGGTCTTCCTCCATTCGGCTCCATCCTCCCTGCCCAGTTTGAGTCTCTCTCTCTCTCTCTCTCTCTCTTTCTCTTTTTCTTTCTCTTTCTCTCTCTCTCTCTTTCTCTCTCTCTCTCTCTCTTTCTTTCTCTCTCTCTCTCTCTCTTTCTCTCTTTCTCTCTCTCTCTCTCTTTTTCTCTCTCTCTTTCTCTTCTTCCGGTTCTGCGTCTTACCTGTGCAGAGTCGATGACGGCGACAATCATGTTTAACAGCTCCCCACTTCGGAGGGTCTCGTCGGGGAACTGGGAGAAAAAGGAGAACGAGAATGAAGACCCCCAAGGCTGGGAAGTGGGGGGGGCTTGTAAGGGAGGGGGGGGAGATTGAAGCAGCTGAGAAGCAACCAGTCGGAAATAAACCTTCCATTGTAGTAAATTCTGTATTTTGGGGGAGCAGGAAGGGAGTGGGGGGGAGCAGTGTGCTTCTTCTGTAATTTTGGAGGTAAAAGGAGGTTTATATTTTAAGAGGAGGAGGAAGGAGGAGATGAAGGAAGAAGAGGAGGAAGCAAAAGGGGAGGGAGGGAGGGAGGGAGGGAGGAAGGGAGGGAGGGAGGAAGGAAGGAAGGAAGGAGCAGGAGGACGACAAGGACTAGGAGAAGGAGAAAGGAGGAGGAAGAGGAAGAAGGAGGAGGAGAAAGAAAGGGAGAAGAAGAAGAAATAGAAGAGGAGAAGGAAAGAGGAGGCGAAGAAAAGAAGAAAAAAGGAAGGAGGGGAGATGATGGTTATGGAGGAAGGGAAAGAGTGGAAGGAGGATGAGAAAGAGTAGAGGAGGAGGAGGAGAAAAATGAGGAAGTATGATGGAGGAGGAGTAAGGGGGGAGAAGAGGGAGGAGGAGAAAGAGAAGGAAAAAGAGAAAAGGAGAAGAAATAGAAGAAGAAATAAAAATAGAAGAAAAAATAGAAGAAATGAAGAAGAAATAGGAGGAGGAGGAGAAATAGAAGGATGAGGAGGAGAAAAGAGGAAGGAGACATAGGAGAAGGAGGAGAAGAAATAGAAATAGAAGAAATAGAAATAGGAGGAGGAGGAGGAGGAGGAGAAATAGAAGGAGAAAAAGAAAAGGAGGAATAGAAGAAGAAAAAGAAATAGAAGAAATAGAAATAGGAGGAGGAGAAAGAGAAGAAGGAGAAAGAGAAAAGGAGGAATAGA